ATAGCTAGGATTACAGGCATGAGCGACCAATGCCTGGCCAAATACTTTTTTTTTTTTTTTTTGGTCAGTCATGGGACCTGAACTCAAGGCTAGCGCTCTACCACTTGAGCCACAGCACCACCTCTGGCTTTTCTGTATATATGGTACTGAGGAATTGAACCCAGGCCTTCATGTATGCTAAGTAAGCACTCTACCACATTGCCAGCCCCAATAAGACTTTTTACAGCACAATTTTAGATTTACAGAAAAGATGAGTAGACTCAAGTGAAACAGCTATTCTCCAGAGCCGGCAGCTCTGGGCTCTAGCCAGAGGGCCCTGCTTCACCCTGACTAGCACAAGGTCAGACACACAGCATCTGCTTTTGACTTTGAACTTGACTTTGAAGTACAGGGTACTTCTCCAGCTCCATCCTGAGGACCACTGCCAGCATTAACAATCCAGTATGTGTGTGTGTGTGTGTGTATGTATGTGTATGTGTGTGTTTGAGAGAGAGAGAGGGAGAAAGAGAGAGAGAGAGAGAGAGAAACAGACAGACAGACAGAGACAGAGAGACAGACAAAGACAGAGACAGAGAAGAGAGAGAGAGAAAATATGTGTCCTGGGGCTTTCTGTTAGTTAATTGGAATCTACAGACTTTCTTACCCAAGCTAGCTTTGAATCATGATCCTCACATCTTAGTTTCCTGAGTAGCTAGGATTATAGGCATGAGCCCCTGCACCTAACAACAATCCAGGTTTTATGGGCCTAAACATCCCTGATACAAGGCAACACCATTTATATGGCCGTCCTTGGCCCTGACTAGGAGCTCAAGCCATTTCCCTGCCATTCTTTTTTTTTTCTCATGCAAAAAGCAAGGGGATTTATTCACCAAGCATGCATGGGGCTCACTGAACACGCAGGAAGAGAGAGCCCCGAGCATAGTTCCCTGCCATTCTATGTGCTTCCAGCACCTGTCTCTCTTCTATGCCCATGAAGAGGTTGTGTCCTAGAAACAACATTGAAGTTCTCCTTCTACTGCAGAAATAAGAGCACATGAGAAATTAAGGTAAAAGGTCAGTGCAAGAAAATGCAATGTGAGGTTAGATTAGACCAATTCTGGGAAGAAAACTCTATGAAACATCTAGAAAGTTAGGTCACAACATTATATATATATATATATTCATGCATAGCTGAGCTGCAGGAACTAAAAGACATTCCATAGGAGGAATGAATTTGAGAACCAAAGCGAGGAGGGGGCTGTTCCACTTTGCCTGCCTTAAGGACCCTTTGCTGCTCTTGATAATCTAGGGATGTGGGTTTTAATTGCCACAGGGATAGGGGATGGAGAGTGGATCCTACATGAGAGGAACATAGAAATAACGGTGTGACATACCCTTTCAAATCCCATTCACAGAAGATATTGTGTATTTGTGTCTGAAGGATTTAAAAAATGGGAAATTATAACTGACTGCGAAACATGCATGGTTTCACGTGTGGACAAAACATGTGCATTAGTGTGAAGGATGAGAAAACAACTATCAAAACCAAGCTAGTGATCCAATGAAAACAACTCTCAGGCTGAGGGTGTAGGTCATGTGGCTGAGCCCTTACTTAGTATGTGCAAGGCCTTGGATTTGATCCTCAGCAGTTGGAAGGAATAAGAACAACAATAAAAAAGAAAGAAAGAAAGAAAAAGGGGGAAGAAACCCTGTAATTCAGTGGGGCAGGTGTTCAAAGCAGGGAAGGAAGATGTGAAACTGTATGATTGGATGGTTGATGTCATTACTTGGAAGATGTGGGCAAACCAGATTATGAGCCAGAACAAGAGGGCCAAGCCCAGGAGGGGCAGAGATGGCCCAGCCAACATCCATAGAAGAACAGGACTTGAACCCAAAGTCAATAAGTGTGAGGGCCAAAGTCATGAACAGACCCCTGTGGGCTAGTAGCTCTGGAACAAAGCTGTTCTGTTTATTAAGAATTCTATTTTGGGGGGTAGGATGGGAAGGGGAAACAAAGGAGGAGGCTACAATGCTTGATAAGAAATGTACTCATGGGCTGGGAAGGTGGCTCAGTGGTAGAGCACGTGCCTTGCATGCTCGAGGCCCTGGGTTCAATTCCTCAGCACCACATAAGAAAAAAGCCGGAAGTGGTGCTGTGGCTCAAGTGGTAGAATGCTAGCCTTGAGCTGAAGAGCTGAGGGACAGCGCCCAGGCCCAGAGTTCAGGCCCCATGACCGGACCAAAAAAAAAAAAAAAAAAAGAAATGTACTCATTATCGTGCCCATGTAATTGTAATCCCCCTGTACAGTATTTTCACAATAAAAAATAAATAAAAAATAAAAAGAATTTTCCCCTTGTTTTCCACTAGGAACATTCCAGATTAGTGAAGAAGTGGTTCCTAGCAACTGATCTGGCAACAGAGGAGGGAAGGCCAAATGGGGCTATTAAAGAGGGGAGCGGTCATCTAATTCAGCAGGTGTCAAGAGGCTGAGGCCAGTCTGTTACTAAGGTGGGCAGCTGCAGAGATTTCCCAGCTTCCCTAGCTCTTCCTCCCTCTACCTACAACCAGACCTCAAGTGTTCAGACAATCTGTCTTCCTCAGATTCCCACAGAAGGGCCTGTCAAAGGGTGAGTCCCAGGGAAGGAACGTGACTCAACTAAAATCCTTTGGCCCAAAGCACATATTTAAAAAGGAACAACTTGTCTCGGCATGGTGACCCACATTCGTAGTACTAGCTTCTTGAAAGGCGGATATGGGAGAATGGCTGGAACTTAGTGAGCAAGGTCCACCCGGGGCAGCAACCTCATGAGACACTTGGTCAAAACCAACTAACCACCAGAAAGAACAGGCTGGTCATCGGAGCTGAGCTCTGGGTCTGGAGGCTTGGCCTCAGCTGCGGGCTCAGGCAGGTTTGTAGCACAGATCTGGGGTGGAGCGAGACAGGTGTGCCAGATAGGTGGGAACAGTACTGCTCTTGCTGTCCAAGTAGCCTTGGGCAAGTCATTTACCTTTCCCAGGGTGCAGATTCCTCATCTGGGAAACACTTGAACTGGCTGTTTCAAAACTGGCACACAGAACAAGGCCTAACCAACCTTAACCTTTGCTTTTCCCCAGAGAAAATGGAAGCTTAGAGAAGGCTAAGTGGGTGGTCTGCCCTCTTCTCTCTCTCATTGCGTCTTGCAGGAGTGAGACTTGTGTTGAGATGTTCTGACAAGTGTCTCTGAACTTCTACTGGCAATGAAACGTCTTGTAAGTGTCTAATGTTACCTAGCAAATGGTCCCAATGACACATTGGAACAGGAGCATGGCGGGAGGTGCTGTGGCTCTTGGTTGAGGCATAGGAGCTCGTGACCTATAACTTCTCTCTTCTATTGTTCAGTTTTGTTTTTTTGGGTCCGGTCGTGGGGCCTAAACTCTGGGCCTGGGCGCTGTCCCTCAGCTCTTCAGCTCAAGGCTAGCGCTCTACCATTTGAGCCACAGCGCCACTTCTGGCTTTTTTCTTTTTAATTATGTGGAACTGTGGAATCGAACCCAGGCCTCAGGCATGCAAGGCAAGTGCTCTACCACTGAGCCACCTTCCCAGCCTATTGTTCAGTATTTTGATTAAATAATACATTCATGCGGTTTAAACATCCCAGCATAAAGATCAATGATGAGTTTCCTTCACACACTATCAGGTAAATCTTCTCCTCGGTGGAGAGGATTTTTCCAGAACTCCCTAATTTCCAATTTAACCTTATCACTCTGACAAAAAAAAAAAAAGGTCCATTAAATGAGGGAATTATCCCCTGACAAAATGTCCATTGGATTATGGCTTGATGCTGGTAATCCTAGCTACTCAGGAGGCAAAGAGCTCAGGACTGTGGTTCCAAGCCATCCCCAGCTGGCTTAACTGTCAAAAAGTTGGAACTGGAGCCATGGCTCAAGTGGTCGAACATTATCCTTGATTGAAAACGCTAAGGAACAGTGCCCAGGTTTTGAGTTCAAGCCCTAGAACACGTGCATGCTCTCTCTCTCTCTCTCTCTCTCTCTCTCTCTCACTTAATGGATTTATTTAAGTTAATAAGCTTCATCTTCTTTCTTGCCAGTGCTAGGGCTTGAGCTCAGGGCCTAGGTGCTGTCCCTAAGCTTCTTCGTGCTACCACTTGAGCCACAGCACCACATTTGACTTTTTTTGAGTAGTTTATTGGAGATAAGAGTCTCATAGACTTTCTTGCCTGGACTGGCTTCAAACTATGATCTTCAGGTCTCAGCCTCCTGAGTAGCTAGGATTATAGGCATGAGCCACCAGAACCTGGCTTTTATCTTCTTTTAAAGATACATTATTTCTGAATTTCAAGCTGGCAGTCTCTTACAGTTTAGTGTTGAATTATTCTAACACAGAATCTCTTTATGCAAAGAGATTCCTGCATATATATATATATATATATATATATATATATATATATATATATATATAATGTTTTGCTGCTTCTGCGGAGCACAGTTTGCAAAGTAGAATGAATGCACACTGTTCTGAGCCTTGCTTGTTTCACTGATTAAGGCACCCTGTGCCTTTGTGTCTCATGGACATTCAGGTTATTTTCCATCTGTTATCACAGACACTGCTGGGTGTATTACCTCACACATGTGCATTCTGCAGGTGCACACTATATATGCAGGATAAATTCCAATAAATAGGGTTGCTAGGTATCTGCATTGGTAATTTTGAGAGAGAAGTGGCCAATTTGCCTCCATAAAATTAATCCTAAATTGCACCTGCATCAGCTTTGAATGAGAAATTGCTGTTTCCCACATCATTACCAACATACCACATTGTCAGATCATTGGATTTTTACCAATCTGATAGGTGGGAAGCAGTGACTCAATTTAGTCTTAATTTAAACGTGTGATGAAAAGTTTTAAATGTGTATAACATGTTTAAAGATCATTTCTATTTTTTCTTTATGACTGTCTTTCTCATATCCTTTGCTTATTTTAAAAAATTAGTTTATTGGCTTTTTTTCTGTTTTATTTCTAGGGGCTGCCTTTGATCTGATCACATCCAAGGTAGTGTTTCTCTTTCAGTTTAAAAAAGAAATTGGAGCTGAGTGCTCGTGGCTCATGCCTGTAGTCCTAGACTCTCAGGAGTCTGAGTTCTGAGGATCATGGTTCAAACCTAGTCCAGGCAGGAAAGTCTGTGAGACTTGTATCTTTGATTAACTACCAAAAAACCAGAAGTGAAGCTATGACTCAAGTTGTAGAGCACTAGCCTTGAGCAAAAAAGCTCAGGATCAGTGCCTAGGACCTGAGTTCAAGCTCTAGGACTCACACACACACACACACAAAGTTGGCATGCACAAAGTTTTCATTTTTTCCCCAGTCAAACTATATTTCATTGATAGCTTCAGGAAGTTGACTCATAGGTACAAAAAAAAAAACCTTTCTCATTTTAAGATGACAGAATGTGCCTTATATTTTCTTGTTATTTTATACTCAACTTTTTATCCATTTGGAATTTATCCTAGTGTGTGCATGAAGGAATGGATCTATCCTTATTTCTTTCTTTTTCCTGATGGCTCTCTCTTGCCTGCTAAATAGAGAAGTTATTTTAGCATAAGCCTTTTCCTTGTATCCACTTGGGTCTGTTTCAGAATGTGTTACTCTTTCCTTTGGGTTGCCCTGGTTGATTTATGCTGGTTCATGATCCTACTGTTTTGTCTGCTAAGATTTATAATATTAAAAAGTGTATTTTATTTAATATTTTAGTTTCTTGAGTTCTTTTGATCTACCTTGCTTATTTAGTTTTGCATTTGAAGTTTGTTTTTTTTTAAAATCTAATGTCTAGCTATAGGCACGAGTGGCTCATGCCTATAATCCTAGCTACTCAGGAGACAGATCTGAGGATTACAGCTTAAAGCCAGCCTGGACAGGAAAGTCAGTGAGACTCTTATCTCCAAATAACCATCAAAAAGCCAAAGTGGAGCTGTGGCTCAAGTGGTAAAGTGTTATCCTTGAACAAAAAAACTCAGGACCAGTGCCCAGGCCTGGAGTTCAAGCCCCAGGACAGACAGACAGACACACACACACACAAATCTAATGTCTAATTGCACGCCTGAACACTGGTGTATTCATTGGAATTGCTTTAATAAAAACTTAAGTATAACACATATACAGAAGAAAAATACATTGTAAGTACACGGTTGTATGAATTACAGCTTATGAAATGACTATAACCTCGTTGTCTCTTAATCATGTGTGGAAATAGAACATCACCAGAATATAGAAGCCCCTAGGACCTCAGCAGTTTTTGAATATGAAATGCCCCCTGTGTTCAATGCTTGGTTCTCACATGGTGGCACTGTTTCTGGAGGTTCTAGAAACTGAAGGAGGTGGCCATGTATCTGCAGTGGTAGCTGCAGGGAGGAAGTCATTGGGAGTATGGCTTTGAAGACTGGACATTGATCTTCTCATCGCCTCATCGCTTCCTGTCCATCATGAGGCAAGCAGCCTCCTCCACACGATCCTCTGCCATGATGCTCTTCCTTAAGCACAGGCCCAGAATCAATGGAGCCCAGCAGTATGGACTGCACACTCTGAAACCATGAGTGGAAATAAACAATTCTCTTTTCAGTTGTATTTCTCAGGTGTTTACCACAACACTGCAAATAGCTAACATACTATCTCATGCTCTTTCTGAAAAAGAATCATCAGTCTCCCTAATTTTTTCCCCCTGTAAACTCAAAGATTGATTTGGTGGTACGTGTGTGTGGGGTGTGTGTGTGTGTGTGTGTGTGTTAGTAATGGGATTGTTTTGTTTTGCTTTGTCAGTACTAGGGCATGAACTCAGAGACTCATGCTCTTGCTTGGCTTTTTTGCTCACAGCTGACAAAGCTTACACTTGAGCCACAGCTCCACTTTCAGCTTTTTGGTGGTTAATTGAAGGTAAAAGTCTCTTTTCTGCCTAGGCTATTTGAACCTCAATCCTCAAATCTCAGCCTCCTAAGTAGCTAGGATTATAGATATAAGCCACCAGTGCCCAGCTTGATCTTTTTAATTGTATTCATTCTGGTATGTGCTTAGTAGTAATTAATGGTGGTCCTAATTTCTAATTTTCATTTCTGTGCTTATGAGGCTGAGTACTTTTAGTGTGTGTGTGTGTGTGTGTGTGTGTGAGAGAGAGAGAGAGAGAGAGAGACAGACAGACAGACAGACAGACAGACAGACAGACAGACACCTGGGGCTTAAACTCAGGACCTGGGTACTATCCCCAAGCTGTTTTGCTCAAAGATAGCACTTTGACATGTGAGCCATAGCTCCATATCTAGCTTTTTGATGGTTAATTAAAGATAAGAGTCTCAAGGACTTTTGTGCCTAAGCTGGCTTTGTACCATGATCCTCAGATCACTCTTTCTTCCTAGCAGCCAGGATTACAAGCATGCACCACTGGTGCCTGGCAAGAATTTAGATTTTTTAAAAACTCTCAAATGTAGAAATAAATAATCAAGATAAGCTGAAAAACTCAAGAAATTAAAATATCTTAAGGGATTACCCAATAATTCCTACTTCAATAGGAATTATTTTTTTTTTTTGTCGGTTGTGGGGCTTGAACTTTGGGCCTGGGCGCTGTCCCTCAGCTCTTCAGCTCAAGGCGAGCGCTCTACCACTTGAGCTACAGTGCCACTTCCGGTTTTCTAGTCGTTTATTGGAGATAGGAGTCTCACGGTCTTTCCTGCCCGGGCAGGCTTTGAACCACAATCCTCAGATCTCAGCCTCCTGAGTAGCTAGGATTACAGGCGTGAGCCACCAGCGCCCGGCAGGAATCTTTTTTTTTTGGTCAGTCCTAGGGCTTGAACTCAGGGCCTGAGCACTGTCCCTAAGATTCTTTTGCTTAAGGCTAGCACTCTACCACTTGATCCATAGAGTCACTTTCAGCTTTTTCTGTTTATGTGGTACTGAGAAATTGAACCCAGGGCTTTGTGCATACAAGGCAAGCACTCTACCACTAAGTCACATTCCCAGCCCTAGTAAGGATTTTTATCAGGATAAAAACGTTGAATTTTGTTAAAGGCTTATCCAACATTCACAAATTTCCTAGGGTCTGTTACTAGAGGTTTCTGAATATTGAACCATCCTTGCACTCTTGGAATAAATCAATTTTAGTCTTTCTATATCTTGTGCTACCAGTGCCACTTGTGGACATGAAGAGCATTAGTACCTATAGGCTAATTTATGTTTCTTATGGTAGGGAAACACTGGTATGATTTTCTCCAGGAATCCCAGTGTTTCTCACCAGGTTGGGGGGAAAGAGCTGCATGACTCTGACCTCAGTCTTCCCAGCTTTTCTCTTGTTGTTTTTGTTAATTTTGCTGAGAAACAAACCAAACTATAATCTATTAAAACTCAGAAAACATAACCAAATAGCCTTCATCCTGTTACACTCATCTATGTTTATGCAGTGTTTTGGAGGATGTCCCAGAAGGCTTAGGGTCTCTAAAATTAACTTGGGACTCCAGGCCCTAATATTTCTCAGGAACGGTGAATAAGAAAAGTTAAAAGGGCCAGAAGCAAAGCCAGACTTTGGGTTCTCGGTCAGTGGAGGATGTGGTATTTATTTGGCAGGATGGTGCAGTATTTAAGCAGTGACCTCTGAATCAGACTTCTCTCTCTCTGTATCTCTGATTCTCTGTGTCTGTCTGTCAGTCTGTCTGTCTGTCTCTCTTGTTGGTAAGGGGCTTGAATTCTAGGCTTGGGCGCTGTCCTTCAGCTCTTCAGCTCAAGACTAGTACTCTACCACTTGAGCCACAGTGCCACAGTGTACAAAGTAGTAACCTTTTAACAAAGCAGCTAATGAACACAATGCATCCTGATCAAGGTCACCCCTTTCAACATTCTCACCCATCCCTCACTCTCACCCACAGGTCACTGAAACCCCAGATAACAAGGAGGCAGGGTAGAGGAGGTAGATATAGAGGAATGGAGCTGTTGGGTCACATGGTCTCACTTTTCATGGAACTGCCAGTCCGCTTCCCAAACCAGATGTGGCCTTTTACATTCCCAACATACGTGTAGGGACTCCAGCATCTCCCCTGCTTGCCAGCACTTGTTCCTGGCTTTTTCACTGTGGCTGTTCTGCAAGGTGTGAAGGGATACCTCACTATGCTTTTGATTTTGATTTCCATCACAGCTAATGATGTTGAGCAGCGTCCCTGTGCCTATTAGCAAAGGAATTGCCATTTGCATATTGTCTTTGGAGAAATGCCTATTCCGTTCCTTTGCCCATTCTTAAGTTGCATTGTTTTTGTCTTTTTAGTTTTAAGAGTTAGTATTTTTATTTTGGAGGGGAAGGGGTGGTCATGGGGCTTGAACTCTAGGCCTGGGCGCTGTCCCTCAGCTCTTCAGCTTAAGGCTAGTTCTGGTTTTCTGAGTGGTTTATTGGAGATAAGAGTCTCACAGTCTTTCCTGCCTGGGCTGGCTTTGAACCATGATCTTCAGATCTCAGCCTCCTGAGTAGCTAGGATTACAGGCATGAGCCACTGGTGCCCGGCCTCTTGTGTGTGTGTGTGTGTGTGTGTGTGTGTGTGTTGTGGGGCCTGAACTCTGGGCCTGGGCATTATCCCTCACCTCTTCAGCTCAAGGTTAGCGCTTTACCACTTGAACCACAGTGCCACTTCTGGCTTTTTCTGTTTATATGGTGCTGAGGAATCATACCCAGGGCCTCATACATGCAAGGCAAGCACTCTACCATTGAGCCACCTTCCTAGCTCCAAGTATCTTTTACTTTTTGTCAATTGTGGGGCTAGAATGGAGGGTCTGGGTGCTATCCCTGAGCTCTTTTGCTCAAGGCTAGCTTTAAGCATCTCTTTAACTCTTTTTGGCTCCAGGATACAAGATATACCTGATGAAAGTCATTCAAATAGTGTTGGGCCAGAAGGGTAAAGGCAGCGAATGTCTAGAACAAAGTCAATCCCATTTGGAAAAGCAGACGTTTGAAAATAAATCACATGGGCCTGGATTCTATCTGATTTCAGAGAAAAGCCACATGTAGGAGGAAAGCACAATATTTCATT